GTATCCCTTAGTGTCACATACGATTCCGTGAAAGTTTTGACGGAGAAAATTATTATCCTGGAAACCTCGGAAACTAGGAAGCTGAAATTTTAGGGTAGCGTCCCCTGCTTGCGTGGAACCCTCAAACTGAAGTTCAGCTTTCACGTACGCCTGGGTCTCAACGCTCTTATGAAAGATTTAGCGGTGTCTCAGGAGCCAGAAAAGCTAGGAGGCTGAAGACATCAGGATGATGTTTCCTACCTATGCACGAACTTCATAAACTCAAATTTAGTCCTGAAGTATATCGAAGTCTCACGTACAACTGCGTGAGATTTTCGACGCAAAAACCACTCAAAATTCAGAAAATTAGGACGTTGAAATTTTGAATTATGTTCAACGCCCAAGCTTCAGATTCAGTTTTCACGCGCGCTTACTTTTCATGCACCGGTACATGAAATTATTATTGGGAGGTTTCGCAGCTTAGAAACCAAGCAACGTGTCAACTATTTTTGCACTCACCGAACTGCAAAGCAGTGACGCCTGGATGGAACTCCGCAAAACGCATGATGGCACCGGCTATCATGATATACGACGCTATTTTAGCTTCTCTGCGTGAAAAATGCATTGTTGCTGCAACACTTTTGAAACTGAAGATCTATCTGTCTGCATAATTCGGTTTATGTCCGGAAAATAAAATCATTTCCCCGGAAATATGGGAATGAGAGAGAACCAAAACAGAGAAGAATGAAGAAATTACCAGTTGCATCATAACTGATAGGAACAAAACATGAAATAAAACAACTGAAGCAAGTATTCAAATAATAGCAAAAGAATGCAAAATTTCAAGAAATAGCAAGATTCATTACAAATGTTTAATAATATTCTTGGAATAGCTAAACAAAAACATAATTTTCATTCACGCAAAAATCAGCGGATGTAAAATTTCAGTGAATAAATAACAGCATCGGCTATGGCTATTTATACTGATTGATTGGAATTTAATTAATTTAACAAATTAGCGAACAAGTTTATGATTCATTCTAGGTGTTTCCGTTTGAGAAATGCTTCATAATCTTTGATTTTACAGCATCCGTCATTTGCAAAAAAACAGCATCCGTCATTTGCAAAAAAATTGTACTTTCACTGAAATGAATATAAAAACTTTCATTGATAAAATTTAAATTCCTCTTTTTCTTAGCAAAACTTCGCCGGTGACGGTAAATAACTATCTATTACTCATTATATTACTCCTACGTATGAAAATAACTAGCGTGAATTCTTTGTACCTACTGACTGGGAGGTATTCTTGGTTTCATTGGAATTCACCGAATTCGTCAAAAATCTGCTGACGATCAACAAGAGAATAAATCGATTTTCAGTGAACAGGTATAACTCACAAATTCGCTGTTGTGCAAAATACTGATGATACCAGTTGATTCATTGTTTTGCCAACAAAAAGTACCGAAAAATAAACAACAAGCAATTATGCATTCAATTTGTCATTGAAAAAAAAGCACGTCGATAATTTCATGCCTAAACTTTATGGCACTCGACAAAAGTGGAACTTTCTGATCTTCCATGCAATTTATCTTTTTCAAGACACTTAAAATTCTAAAAAATTTAGATAAAAGCAAGTCCCGATATCACGCGCACCTTCTCGCCCCTGATACGGCGATGATCGGCAATTGGTGGACATGAATACTGCTATAGGAT